ACAACATGTGCAAAACGAAGACAAAACAAAGACAAAGTTCACCTGTGTGTCGAAGATTGGACAGTGACAATTCAGACTGTGACATTACAGACTGTGATACTTCGGACAGTGAGTGGACTCATTCAAGGTCAAGATCTAGTTCGTCTTTCCAAGGTGCCAGAACGCGTAGAGGTAAGACACCATAAGAAAATATCTGAGAAAGTGTTCTATCTTTATGGGATAATATATAACACTATAATATTTGTGTGTGAGTGTGCAGGCATTTATGTGTGGCTGTGTGTGGAAATATGAGCGTGTAATTGTCAAATTCTTTCTCTCTTTGTGCACATTTACCAAATTTTAATGTGTATTTATATGTGTGTGTGTATCTAGGTCTGTTTATTGAATGTAATTCCAATTATTCATATCATTATTCACAGGTAGAACACCGAGAGGCAGAGGCAGAACGAATAGAGGTAAGATAAGAAAATATCTGAGAAAGTGTTATATCTTTTTGGGATAAAATACATACATTTATTTTTAAATATATAGGCCTATATATATATATATATATACACTATAATATTTGTGTGTGAGTGTGCATGCATTTATGTGTGGCTGTGTCTGTAAATGTGAGCTTGTAATGGCCAAATTGTTTCTTTTTGTGCACATTTACCACATTGTAATATGTATATATATATATATATATGTGTGTGTGTGTATGTATCTATGTCTGTTTATTGAAAGTAATTCCAAATATTTATATAATTATTTACAGGTCTCAGAAAAAAAGGTACAAAAGCAGTCACTGGGGCGGTACCTTTTCAAAAGGTACACTTTTGTACCTAAATGGTGCATATTGGTACAATTATGGTACCAATATGCACCCTTTAGGTACAAAAGTGTACCTTTTGAAAAGGTACCGCCCCAGTGACAGCTTTCGTACCTTTTTTTCTGACAGTGAGAAGTATAACACAGCGAGGCAGAGGTCGGATGTGTCAAGAACATCAACATGGTGCTGCTGGTGACCAAACAAGGGACACTTTGATCCATCCAGCTGAAGATGCTGAACCTGATGATCCTGAGTGGCATGAAATTAACTGGCAGCCAAAAAACATTCCCTTCACCGAGAATCCTGGGCCTATTGGTCATGCTGCTGCTCTTGAGTCAGAACAACCTGTAGACTTTATTGAGTTGTTCTTTTCTGATGTACTGATTCAAAGCATTGTTGATCAGACTAACCTGTATGCAGATCAGTGTATTCAGGCTATGGATGACACTTCACAACATGCTAGGTATCATGCATGGAAGCCTGTCACAGTCTCAGAAATGAAAACGTTCATGGGGCTCCTTTTTCTCACTGGTATCATTCATAACCCTGAACTTGATATGTACTGGTGTACAGATGACATGTTAGCTACCCCCTACTTCAACAAAGTCATGCCTCGCAACAGGTTTGAAATCATATGGAGATTTCTTCACTTCAATGATAATACAATAAGGCCAGACAATTGTACTGACAGGCTGTACAAAATCCGCCCTGTCTTGGATCACCTTGTGTCTAAATTCCGTGAAATGTATCAGCCCAAGTCAAACATTTGCATTGATGAGGGGATGTTTCTGTGGCATGGACGCCTAGCTTTCAGGGTGTACAATCCCCAGAAACCCATCAAATTTGGAATAAAATCCTACATCTTGTGCGATTCTGATACAGGGTACTGTTTTAACATGAAGCCCTATTGTGGGGAAAGTGCTGCCCTGGGAGACACGGTTGTTTCTCTTCTTGATCGCCTAGTAGGTCATGGCTACAGATTGTTTATGGACAACTTGTACAACTCTGTACAACTGTGTGAGCGCCTACTTGATGTGAAAACCCATGTATGTGGTACAATTAGGAAAAACAGAGGTGATCATTCGAGATGCTGACCTTAGGATTGGGGAAACAATCGTGCGTCACAAAGGAAATGTGATGGACTTGGCATGGAGAGACAAACAAACAGTGAAAATGGTTACAACTTTCCCTCAGAACAACATGGAACGTGTTGAGGTGTTGTCAGAGAGGCCACCAAGAAAAAGTTGCAAAGCAAAAACCAGCATGCATTGCGGAATACAATCATGAAATGAATGGCGTTGACAAACTAGACCAAAACATTGTGTACTACCCTTTTATTAGGAAGTCACACAAGTGGACAAAGAAATTTATCATGTATCTGTTTCAGATCAGTTTGTTCAACGCTTTTGTCATTTACAAAGCGAAAAACCCACAGGGTAATTGTAACACTCTTCTCTCATTCACCCCGAGTGTTATAAAATCATGGACCAGCCAAGAGTATGCTGGTGGTGGGGAAGAAAGTGTTGAGCCTCCAACTGAAAAAACTCCAAGAGCGCCATACACTGACCCAACCAACCAGCTGAATGCCAGTTTTGCTGTTCATGAACTTGATCCAATCCTGCCCACTCCCAAAAAGCAACACCCAACCAGAGGATGCAGAGTTTGTGTACGTAAGGGGTTGCGGAAGGAGACCTCGTTCTACTGCAAAAGTTGTGGTGTCCCCTTACAATGTTACTCCGTGTACCACTCAAAATCAAATTACAGTGCCTAAATTTGATATATTTTACATTTATTTATTTATTTTTATTTATTTTGGAAAGTTTTATATATGAAGAAAACAACATCTGAATGTATTCTGCTTGACAATGCACTTGTTTGATAAAAATGCCCTTTTCTCAGTTTTTTGTCCAAAATGTTCAAGTGGCAATAAAAAAAAAGAACAAATGAAGATAAAATAAATTTGTTTTTTTTTTTGCCTAAAAGCAGAGGCTCAGATCTTTATTTTGATATATAGCTTCTTCATATATTCATGGAAGAAAATATTCAACAGGCCATTAAAGTTTAGAGAAAATCGTCAAAAACCCTGGCAGTGGCTGGCAACTTTTTTAAAAAAACGCTGGCGGGGAAAGAGTTAAACAACAAATCTAGGCTACTAGTGAGTTTCCGACTCCATGATGAGTCTGCCCGAAAATGTGTCCAGGATTCAGCTTTTGCGTTCTACAGTCGCCATTCATTATGTTTACTATGGCAAGCAGGACGAGGCTAGGTCCACGGGAGAACGGCGCAAGACTGGTGGCGTGATTACCGATCAGCGACACTGGTGAGACACACCGGTCTCGTATCGCTCACTGAGGAGCAGGGGTTTTTCTTGGAAATGTTAAAACGCACATCAACAGATCACTTGTTTAACGTTTATGTAAACATTACATTCAGATTCACCAATCGGAATGAATTCAGTTACATTGAAACAAAAAATGTGCATGTAAACAATATATGGTGACTGCAGAAAGCAAAAGCTGAATCCAGGACATCGATGGCCGGACATGTCCGGGAAAAAGAGGATGGTAACCTCTACTACTCAGCTTTCTTCACAGAACAAGAGCCGCTAGCTTAGCTTACAAAAAAAGATGGCTGACACTTTGTGTACATTCTGTGAGTTAGATCCCACCCTCTATGGGCGGGTTGAAAACAAGCTCTTACTACTGACTGTAGTCTTTAGCCTCTGGCCAAAAAATCCTCAGATGACACAAAATGACGGTTTTTTGTGTCATCGCAGGATTTTTTCCTGACAAAAAAAAAAAAAAAAACATAAATCTTTCGTCTCAGGGGGATGTGTGTCACGTGTGGGTTTTGTTGTGTTTTGTATATCACGTGATTCCTTGTTTGTCATGTGATCCTGCCAGGTGTCTTGACTTTTATTATGTTGTTGCTCGGTGTCCACAGGTAAGGGACGGGTCAACAGTGTAATTATAAATGTAATTACATAAATGAATTACAGCTGTAATTATGTGCAGGTATTTTTAAAATATAAGTAAAATGTGAAAACATGTACACAATAAGTCCAAGTATCAAATTAGTAATTTCAATGTTAGTACATAGTAGTTAAAGCCACTTAATATAAAGTGGGACCATCCTTCCCCCCACCCCACTCACTCTCTGCTTAGTGGTGCATGCTCTCATGCTTCCATTCTTATCAATTGTTAAGCAATAAATGTCTTTTCTCTGCAGACATACAAAAAGAGACGGCTGGAGGGTGGCAGAATGGCTAAGGTTGGAGAAATTATAAACAATAATTTGAATGGCCTTTCATCCTCTCTCAACGGAGTCTACTCCAAACCGAAGCTGCAGTGATGTCGTGACATGACATAGAATGGATCGTCTCAGTCCAGTTATGCTGAATATTAGCTTAATAGCAGCTAATCATCTGATAATCCAACTGTGATTTTTAAAATTTAGAATAGAACTTAACCATTTTGTATGTTTGTTTTACAAATATTCCTCAAGTCTCATAACTGAGCGATGTAAATGCTGTACAATAATTTAGGGACAAATATGTCCAATTCAAAATTAATGCCTTTGTTATGGAGTACAGTATCTACTTTCACACATCTTTGCAAGTTTATCTATGACTGCAAGGAAATGGTCAGCAATTTTCTCTATATCTTTACACAATAAATGTATTGTTCAACAAAATGTGCCATAAGCTACAATCCTTTATCTGATATGCTGAAATGTTATATTATACAGTAGTTACAGTAGACACCTTTCAAAATCTTCATTATCAGACAGACATGGATCGTTGTGTACAGATATCAAGTTACATGATAAATGATATATATATATATATATATATATATAAAATGATAAATAATGATATATATATTATATATATATATATATATATATAAAATTATAAATAATGATATATATATATATATATATGCAGTTTTGTATTTCCTATTGCAAAATGATGTTGAGGATCTTTCTGCTACATCTTTCTGATCTTGGTAGGTGCTACAAGCAACATACACTCAGTGCAGGTTGTGTCATCAGTATTTTTTGTCTATTTTACCAGAAGATAATGATTGTACATTTTAACTGTGTATATCTACTAAAAGTCAATTGTCAAATTTCAGAGTGGATTAGCATGTATAGATTACCCAAAGACACAAACTTTTTGTCTTTGGTGCACACCTATTCCCTCCGTCCCAGCCCCCTTTTTTGTTGTATAAATAGAGCCGATATGAAAACTGAATAATTCTCTTCATACTAACTAAATAAAACACTTGAAGTATCAAATGATGTGTGATGTTTAATATTATATATTAAACTTACAGTGACAATTAAATTGTTTTAATTAGGAGTAGACAATTCCGACAAAAAAGGCAAAGAAAATGAATGAAAGAAAAAGCATTAGTCCTACGAGGGATCTGCAGTGGTGATCTCTCATAGTGCAACCTTGGATGATTGTCCTTCAGGAGAGACTGGCTGGAGAGGCTGAAAATTCAAATGATAATTGCAAATTTATTAATTGTACATGCTAACATTATAAATATAAGGTAGATATTCATGCCCTGTAAAAGTCTATACATATTTAGAAAAAAAAAGCTAGAATACCACTTACCACAGTAACTTTGGCCTCGCTTCTCGCTGATTGACTAACTGAGGCTTCAGAACCCTCACAAGGGATTAGGAGAGTATCCAACCTGTCACAGGGGGATCAGAAGGTCTTTTAAGATCTTGTACATGGGGGGGGGGGGGGGGGGGGGGTAGTATACATGCATATACTTTTCTACCTCTTCTGCTGTTTATCACAGAATGCCCGAACTGTGACAGACTCTGACTGCCAGAAATTCTAAGAAATGAAAAAGAGCATATGACAGAATAGCATTTATCAACAGACATCTGCTGTTAAATATGTTCGGGAGACTATAAACTGAGCAAAAAAGAAACATCCCCTTTTCAGGATAATCCAAATAAGCTTTACAGATCTTTATTGGAAAGGGTTTGAACAATGTTCTTCATGATTGTTCAATGAAACAAACATAACCTGCATATGCACCTGTGGAACAGTCCTCAAGACTAACCGTGTAAAGGCAGTAGACAATTAGAAGTTGAAGAAGATAGATGTCTGTTAACCTGTGTAAAAACGCCATAGGCTGGAAGAATGAATTCAGTGCGGCTGGAAGGACAGCTGTTCATCCTTGCTGTGCCTAAGAATGTAACCATGACACCCGAGACATGTTCGAGAACTTGCAAGTCGTGGAGTGGTGAAATTAATTCCATTTCAGTTCATCAATTGTCTGTGAAACTTGTTTAGTTTGTGTCTCGATTATTGAATCTTTGTTCATACAAAATATATACAGGTCAAGAAATTTGCTGGAAAAATAGAAGTTGAAACAGGGAGGATGTTTCTTTTCTTTTGCTGATTTTATAAACATTTTAGTTTGCCTTTGAAGACAATCTACTTAATATGAAAATGTGCCCATTGAGAAACTGAAACAGACCACGGTCTCCTTCTCTATGGTTTTGAGAGACAGACAGTCCTTCTCCAAACATTCCAACTGCTGCACCACAGAGTTCTGGAACTGTTCCAGATGCACCAATCTACAAGCAGAGCAGCATGGTTCATTTTCTGTACCTCAGCTACAGTATAATAACCATTTAGATCAAAATCGAGCAGTACTATTTTAGTCAGCTTAACCGGTGACATTTTTAGGCTATTTTAGATTATTATACATTTACATGGTTTATGGACCGAAAAGGACAAAGAATCAACTGAATTCTAATGCTGTTTTGTGTGCTCTGTACCTTTGATTGTGTACAGTTCCCAAGAGAGAGGTCACATTTCTCTGACAGTCCGTTAAAGATTGTAGTGATCTGGCTTCAATCTTCTTATACCTGCTCTGGATCACAAAGAAAATAATTTTTACTGCCGACTAAAGTCAGGGGGTACTTCACCCCAAATGTCTCATGCTGTGTACCTGTACATGCATATACCTGTGGGCTTATTTAATTTAACACAAAATGCATTGACAAGCTCCAAATATGACAAAAAAACAAACAAAAAAACAACAAAAAAAAAAAAACTAATGTTGAAATTAAGCCATACAATGACCTTTATGAACAGGCCTAAGGTCACATTGCATTGAAAATACTTATCACATACTGTATGATGTGATTAATCAAGTCATAACTAAAGTTGAACTGAAGCTATTGGCTTCAGAACACTTGGAATATTGCACATAGTCTAATAAGACATTCCTGGATCAACATATTTTGTTGAACCTGGAACAACATTCCTGTCCGGAAATTCAGTGTTTACCCTACCCATAACTGCCCTAAAATCAGAGGGAAATGATCAGTGAATTACACTTATGAGAAGCGCTAGCCTGATTATAAGCCTAAACTTGACATAAGGTAAACTTCCCTCAAATCTGATTGATAGATTGTAATGTTGTTCCATGATCAACAAAGATGATCCAAGAATCCATGAATTTTTTTTTTTTTTTTGGAAGCTTCTCACTGCTCATTCAGAGGGGTAAAACCAATGCTAACAAAGTAGTTGAAAGTAAAAAGACGAGTTTTTGTACTTACAGAAAAGTGTGCTCTTAGCTGAGTCTTAAAGCCATTAAATGCAGCTCTGACACCAGCACCCAACTCTTCCTCTGATTCATCTTCCATCAACACTTCAGTTATTCGCTCTAACACACACACACACACACACACACACACACACACACACACACACACACACACACACACACACACACACACACACACACACGTGTATATTTGGCATTCAGGTCTCTCTCTTTGTTTGGCAGTGAGCAGCAGCATACAATGGCTGCTTTTCATCCTTTCAAACAGAAAAACCAGAGCCAACACTAGAGTGCAAATGAGCCAAAAAATAAAAAATAAAACAACTAGTCACAGTATCAAAATATATTTAAAGATTATAAGTTAGCCATCACTAGTGATTGGAATAAACCCTGAATGCTTATGGTTGCATTATTTTGATATAGTTTGATGAATGGCTACTACGTGTCAACTTTCAATACAGTATTAGCAAAGTTGCTTACAGTCAGTCCAATGTCTGTTAGGACTGACATCAGAATAAAGTGTAAGCTGATATTAAGCAAACAGTCTTTTAATGCTCTAATGACTGGTAGTTGGCATGCAGTATTAAAAGTGAACAATCAAAATAAATTCTTACCAACTTTTACAGTATGTGCATCTCATCCTGCACTGTATGTGCAACATTCCTGTAGCTCTTGGGCTAACAATGTCACAGTCATGGGTTTGAACCCAAGGGGAATGCATGCTCTGATCAAATTTATACCATGAATGCAGTGTAGGTTGATTTGGATAAATGTCTGCCAAATTTACAACTAAATGGGTGACATGAATGATATAATGTGCAGCTTTCTGAAGTAGCCTATACTCTTCAGCACCAAAACATTCATAAAATGTAAAAGTCTAGTAAAAAAAAAATGGTAACACTTTACAATAAGGTTCATTAGTTAACATTAGTAAATGCATTAACTAACATGAACTAACGATGAGCAATGCATTAGTTACAGTGTTTGTTAATCTTTGTTCATGTTAGTTAATATAAATACAGCTGTTCATTGTGTGTTCATGTTAGTTCACAGTGCATTAACTAATGTTAACTAATACAACCTTTGATTTTAATAACGTATTAGTAAATGTTGGAATTAATATTAACTAAGATTAATAAATGCTGAAGAAGTATTGTTCATTCTTAGTACATGTTAACTAATCTAATGTTAACTACTGAACCTTATTGTAAAGTGTTACCAAAAAAATAAAATAAAAAAAATAATTTCACTAGACTCAATACTCTAATATGTGTTGGAAAGCTCAAAAGGTCAAGATATGTATAATGCGGGTTCAGCATAAACCTTGTACTGTTTCTCTGTAAGATGCTCAAGACTGAAATAATTTACCTGCAGCATCCTCTAGTGGGCTAGACAGGAAAAGTCTTGTAGGTTGAAATGTTGGTTGTCTGGGCAGCTCTGTGTGGCACATTTCCTCTATTATCACCAAAATTGTAACCGATTTCAGAAGAATTTTTAGGGATTTTATTTTTTTATTTGTCAAAAAGTGTCTGAATGTGTGGAGGTTAGGTACTCACCTGATGATCCAAGTGCTTCAGTTCTTGGGGGAAGTGGTGTTTCTTTATCCAAACAGTGCTCCTAAGTCAGTATTTATTTATAAATTAAAGATAAATATGCATTACAAGCTCAACATACTGAAATAAAGTTGTACCTCTTCAATAAGATTAAGTTGCTCTTCTTGTAAACTGGTTTCAGAAACAGTCATGTTTTGAAAACCTTGGAAAAAAAAAAAAAAAAAAAAAAAAAAACACACACACAATGTCAGGACATTTAGATCAGAATAAGCTATATTCTGATGCAATCATACTGACCTGAATCAGCAGTGGTCTCTTTCAGTAATGAAAATTCTTTGTTCAGTGATCTCCTAAGCTTGACTCGAGACTGCCCATCTTTACTTGCCACTTGAAGTCTTTGTTTGGGTGTTGAATACTAGAAAGAAAGGGAAAAAAATAAAATAAAAAAGATCTAAATGTGTGGCTATTTTGTTTATACTGCAAATCTTCTTTATTACATTCATAAATTACATTCTACCTTGAAGAACTGCTCCTCATTACTGCTGGGTGAGGAAAGAGGAAGAACTATGCAAGATTAGGAAGAAAAAAAAGTTAGGTTGCAGCATATCTTAAGGATTTATAAAGTGATGAAAGGGAGAGCAAGGCACAAACTAACACGGGGCTAATGATAACACCCTTGTTTTAAATACTTCCACACATGCTATCATGATGAAACTTAGTGTATTTTGATGCCATATCTAATATATGATGCATGTATGCATGTTTGTATGTAGAAATCACTGAACATTTAACCATAGCAAAAGTACATTTCTTATGTTAATTTTTCATTTCATTTATTTAATTTTGCTTCGTTAACTAGCAGAAGACACTAACGTGGTTTAAATCCCAGTTGCCCAGGTGGGGCATGTAGGAACACTGCATTACAATGTGTGCCTATTAGAAGAACTATGCTATTCTATTCAATACTTGTATGAATTCCATCACAAAAACTTGAGAAAATTGTGAATAAAGATTCAGAATAAAAATGTTCAGAAATTATTAATAATTATGTTTTGAACTATGTTGTATAGTGGTGTTTTCTGGCGTGTTCATTATCAAACTCCAAAAATTATTTTATTTTTAATTTAAAAAAAGCCATTATTTTATATGAAAAATATTTTTTATTGAGAAAAAAGAAAAAGATATTTTATTGAGAAAATATTTAAGTTGCCTGTATAGTTTTTGATTAGATCAGCTGTCATATGGTCATGTTACAATGTACCCCCTCACATGTGTCCAGTACAATGGGGCATGTCACATTTCACTTCCATTCTTTCGGGGTATATCAAGAAAAAAAGTACACACTATTAATAAAACAAAACCAAATGATTGTACTAGACGAAATAAATAGAAATAAAACTCTGAACCCCAAGTATATTTACACAAACTGAGAAAGTCAAAAGCGTTCGGTTGTGCCCCGCTCTCCCCTAATCATGCGGGATGAGGAATGATACCTCTGAGTTTCCCCTTAGGTCTGGGCTTTCTCCTGCTGTAGTCAGCATGTGGAGTGACCTTGCGGAGAAACCATTCATCTGAATGCACCCTTATTTTCTTCTGCAATCAACCATTTTACATTTAATTTATACATTTATAGATTTTGTAGACACTTTTGTCCATAAATGTCACAAAACCAACAATATTCAGTTTACAATGCCAGGTTTATTAGAAAGCTAGATTAGGCAAACTAGGACATTATTCAATGCACTAATGTCTAACATGTATAAAACGGGCAATTTACACAAATAATGGTGCCTTTACACATTCTGGCTAACCTTCACAGGAGTTCTACCCACATTGTCAGGCAGGGACTTTGTAGACCTGATGAAAAAAAAAGCATGTTTTAGTGAGACTATGGCAAATATGTAACACTGCAGCATTTCATCTGCTGATTTCAGTATTAGAGGTCACAAGCATCATCAGACCATACAGAGATGACACTTACCCATTAGAAGATGTTGTCTGAGAGAACAATACAGTCTTGGCACGTTCAACCTAAACAGAAAGGCCAAAATCAACTATTCTTAAATTTTACAATTTAGAAAATTAATAGTAAATATTTTAATTTTCAACAGTCACTTGAGTGGCAATTTATAGACATTAAGGCACTGGCCAGATAAAGGTAATAAAATGAACAAACTGACCCAGAAGCCCAAGATTTAGTCAAGAAATTAATAAAAGTCAAAAACTGGACAATGGGATCTGATATGTGTGACTGCACTCCACTGACCTGGTACCTCCACAAAGCAGTCATGAACTTTATAGTCTTTGGCATCTTGTCATGTGACTTCCCTGATCGTTCTGTGTCAAAAGTGTCACTCAGACATTGAGACACCTCAAGGATCACCTGGGGCAGTCATATACACACCTACTCATATGCCAGAAAACTACATCCATTCTTCATCACGTGGCCCTTTGACATTATTCCGGTCATTTTTATTCTCAGTTAGCATCCAAAACGAACTTAGGTGTTCAGTGCAAAATTTACAGTTGTTCAGCTAATCAAAGAGCACATTTTTTTTTAAATAACATTACCAAAGTATCAAATTATTGATCCCACAAGACTGTGTTACAATAACATCACAATACCAAAGAATCAAATTATCGATCCCATAACGTCACAATTCCATATAGCGGACTTCTCAGGAGAAAGTCTTGGCCTTCCCTTAACACTTTGGGACGTGCTGATGCATTCACTGCAATTGAACCTCTCTCCTTGAAGTTGTTTAGGTGTAATATTCTTTGCAGCTAATTCCTTGCATGTGAGGCCATTTTGATGCAACATTGATGATGCTGCACACATTTATTTGGAGGTTACCATTGCTAACAGAAGCACACAAATTTTATAGCAATTGGTCTGCTCTTTTAATCCAATCAGAATTAGAGTGATTTCACCTGACTAATACTTGTTCACACTTTTCCCATGTGCTGCTGATGATATGATTAGAGAAAAGGTGAATTATGAAATGTAAGAAAACTTGCTGCATTTTTTTATTTGTAATAAAAAAATGTTTAGGATGTTTATTTAGCGATGTCCCCATAATGCAAATGGCTTGGCCTGAAACCTGAATACACCAAAATACAAGACTTTGGGTCCTCATAATGCAGGCCAAACCAGAATACACACACATACATTTATATACCTCTGTATCTGAATGATCCTTGAAGTCAAAGATGTCTTGAACTGGGGTTCCTTTGACTCTTCACGCACCAAAGTATAGAAAGTAAGAAAAGTATAAAACCACTGTTCTCTCCATCAGAGGGTGCATTTTTCCAGGAATAAACAGGCTTACTTTGATATTGAATATCTGCTTGGTCCACTCAAAAGAAGGGGAAGCTATAAAAAATATAAATAAAAAAGTTGGTGAAACTGGAAGCCCATACAACCATTCACACCATGTGTGACTACCTTCATCTTAGCTGTCTGAATTATACTTACCTGATGGATACCTTTAGTTTCTCCAGCTGGTGGACTAAGGAAGAAAAATATCTTCATGAGACAAACTTACTCTGAAATCAGATACTAACTTGTCTAATGAAAAATCAATTGCAGAAATCAAGATGCCTTCTGCTCTCTCAATGCAAACACGGGGCTTTACATAAATAGTTAGAAAAACATGCCTGGAAAATTTTTGCAGCTTCACCGTTTGCTCATGCTGGGGTCCTGTACAGGATGACATTTCATATTTATAAATCTGGAACGATATGTATTATCTTTAACTATGCATATCTGTTAAGAGTGTGAGATGTGTTGTGCCTTCTATCGTGGTCACAGCATCCCCTGATTGCAGAGTGTCCTAAAAAATAAACATACATATTTATAGCACGCATACGTCTTTATAGCACGCATTGTGTTTTATCGTGCAATTTCAGCCCGTTCTCATCCTAAGGCGTCATATACTGACGCTTTTGCCAATGAGTATAGCCTACATCCAACGCACATGGCACCCTTTAGCGCCAATATGAGACCATATTTTATATATGGGCCAGAAGGCGCCTCCTAGTGGTCTAACCCTAACCCAGGCCTAAACCAAACCATGCGTATCCTATGCACGTAAAAACTCATTTTTTGCGTATAAATTGCACGAAAAATACACTGTGTGCTATGGAGAAGCTGAAAACAGTACTGTATAATATGTCAATACCTTTGAGGCTGAGGCAGGCTGTGGCTTCTCTGCAAACACTCTTGTCAGGGCTGTTTGGATGTTGTGCTCTAAACTAAAGATGATTTTGACAATTTTCCCAGTGATCTCTCCATGAGAAATTGGGGTGCTCATGTGAAAAACCACAATCTTCTGATCATCACACTCTAAAGCAGTAAGTGAGAAAAAGTCATTAAGAAAAAGGATTAATGATCGGAGCACCAAATATTTGTGGAATTTAAAAGCAATTCCAACCACATTAGTCTACTTCAGGTTTGCGTTTGTTTAACAAAGAGAGCCAAGATAATTTTATGAATTTAAGAAAAGCTTGTGGTTTTTAAACTCACCTTGAAGTTCATACATGCTGACAACATCTTTAGGCAAGTGAATTAGCTCCCACAGTGTGTTCTACCACAAATGAAAGCTCAGTTTAGTTGCACTCCTGACTTATTAAAAACCTTTTTGCACTCAAGGATATTTTGGACACACCTGTGGGTCATTTACAAAGAAACTAATAGTGGATGTTCCAATGTTGAAATCCACCCAAAACTCTTTTAGACACTCATCTTCAGGCTTAAACAGCTAAAAAAAAAAAAAAAAAAAAAATAATAATAATAATAATAATAAAAAAAATAATTCAAATACTGGGTGGTGGGAGAAAATGTGAGTAACTTATGAACAGAAAATGGAAAAAAATTCAGGTTTTACCTCAGCTGAATCAAGAAATGCCTGAATACAAGGGAACGAGAAGACTCTAAGACAGAGCAACAAGATCGTGAAAACATGTCAACATTTACAGATACAGGTGACTGGATAAAGCCAACGCAATAGCCTAATAACAATAATAATAATAATAAAAACTTTCAAACAAACCTTCTTGAGTTCCCAAAATAACTATTGAGTTCATTTAGAAAAGTCCTACAGTCCTTTAAATAAAAGACAAAAGGAAGAACTTTGAGACCTGCAACATACTGTGCTAGTAGAGCAGTAAAAAATAAGTGCCCAAACGTACAGTTTCAAAATCTTTGTCACGAATTGAAGTAAAAGCTGAAGCAAAACTTCTGAAACTGAACCATTTTCCAGCAAAGTGTTCGCGTAGTTTCCTTGGTGTCATCCTGCAGAGTGCTTCAGAGATGGCCACCTGCATTTCATAATCTGGTGACAACAATAGATGATGCAATGTGAACATTGATATACAAGTGCTCAATTTTTTTTTATTTATTTTTTTTTATCAAATTGATGACTTACCACCAATGTCTGTCAGCGCTTTTGCCAAGTCTTCTCTGTAATCGATGACAAGGCAAGTGTTTGCAAAGAAATTAGCTCATTTTTGTGGTGTTGTAGTGTAGAGCAATTTCTTGTCCACTAGAGTGCAGTCTTTCCACGCACGCAAATGAGTTACATGAGCGCTCCAACATCATTATTTAATTTTAAAATGGTGCTATGTAGAACTTAGAACAAGAACTGTTTCTATTCTAGAGACTGTAATGAGTTCTCTCAATTTGCTTGTAATTGGATGGGAGTTTGGCTCGTGTGAAGTAGGTGAGTGGTCTCTGGCAATGCGTGCTGGTTGACGACTTACAAGAGCCCAGTATGGTCATCTGACTGGCAGAGTTTCTTTCTTGTTTCTTTGGGACTGCTGTCCAACATAGAGTTGATGGTTCTGATGGCCTGAGTAAAAATAATGTAAAAGTTACTCTACAGAAGGCTATAAATGTTTAGCCTGTCATTATTTGCAATAGCTTCATGATAGTTACCTCTAGACGCAGACAGAAAGGCACTTCACAATCCAAAACTACAGCTCCAAACCGCAGAAGAAATATATCCAGGATCTTGCTGCTGCCTTCCAACACCACCGAATTAATTTAATAGCATTATTATTACAATTAACACAACTGTACAACAACAAAATATAACAGGTTATTAAATGTTTGAATGGGTCACCTGCAATGGTCATCTGACACAGACTCTGTAAACAAGTTTATTTTTAAATTTAAAATATAGCCTATTAAAATACATATATTAAATAGAATAACAAGGAGTTAGAGACAGAAAACCCATTACCATTGTAACCTCGTAGAAAATTTCTATGAGTTTCATTGCGTCCCTGGGTGGCTTGTGGTGTTCTTTAACATACTCTGACGCCATCTCAAACCAATTCAACATGTAAAAAAAGCGAGCAGGTGATAAATTATCATGGGCCACTGACCAGTAATTTAGAGGTTTAATGTTAATCTGAATTAAATAAATGCTTATCTTCACAACCAAGCCGTGCTGAACAAGTTTCTGGATGGTGTCCTTATCCTTACCGAACAGATGTTCAATTGCTTGTAATAATAATGAGACATTCTTATGTTCGTTTTTATGCAGCTCCTAAAGAAGAGTAATAATAATGTAGCCTACATCGGTAAGAAATGTCCACGTTTGCAGTGAAGAATGTTACAAAATAGCAAAGCAGATTTGAAAAAGCTCATTCAAAAAAACCTACCTTGATAACAACTTCGTCCAGCCGATCGATTAAGGATACGGACGATTTTTCTTCAATGAGTATCATAATAGCCATGCTAATGTTATTTTGGACAAAGGCATCATGGATTCTACTCGTAAACTGTACAATTAAGAGAAGCACGTGTAAAATAACTACTAAAAACAACAATAACAAACTCAATAGGGTTAATTTGTGCTTCAAATACAAGTAAAATTAGAGGAGTGCAAATATGCTACTAATAGTAGGCTTACATAATCAATCGTGATTTTATTAATATGTGCAGCTCTGAAGAGGATATAGCCTATCTTTAAAAAAAAAATAGACTCACACTCATGATGCACAGGCAGGCGAGCTCCTTGGACTGTAGACTGTCTGATTAAACGCACGTGGCTCTTAATTAGGCTCTATAGGTGATTTATAAACTCAGCAGCTGTGAACTCTCAGTGATCTACTATTTATTTATGACAGTATGCTATTAATATTTACTGAAACACTCTTCAGACAGTGTTTGTGCATTAAAACAGTGCATTAAAACATTGGAGCGTGGGGCAGTGTTTTTTTTTACATGTCTAAAAGTTTTCCTTATAGCCTATTAAGTAGCACGTTGCTGGATCTGTGAAAACATAATTATAGTCGTTTTTACGCAACGTTTGCATAATCAGTAGGCCTAATAACTTGTAATTTATACCTGTCAGCGTAATTAAACGTTAGATATTTAAATATTTTGTGCCAACCTGCAGAACTACACAAGTACAATTTTGCATGCCTATTATACGACTATTGAGAGTAGACCTATAACATTGAATTTTGAATAATTTGTGACAGACAGCGCGGGGCGCTTCACTAAGGTGCTTGCATCTCCCTGTATGCATTAGGACAATGACCGTTTATTTATTTAATTGTATCATCAACAGTTCTGATTTTACTTAAACGAATGAAAAAAGTAAAACTTTTTTTCTTTTGTTTGTATATTTATTTGTTTATTTTTTACATACAGTGATGTGATTTATTTAGGTAATATTAACGAATATTAGTTTAGTTTAGTTGTCCAGCTGACCACAACTCTGCGGTAACAATATTCATTAGCCAAGTCTTCAGGATCCGTGAATTCCCGTCATTTGCTCTTAGTATGGACTTGTAGTTAATAACCCACATATTAATAACCGTGACCCTTAAACACAACTCTCACGGAAAGCATTCTGCATTTTTATATTTAATAGGTCGATGATGGAAGGACGGGTGGATAGATAGATAGATAGATAGATAGATAGATAGATAGATAGATAGATAGATAGATAGATAGATAGATAGATAGATAGATAGATAGATAGATAGATAGATAGATAGATAGATAGATAGATAGATAGATAGATAGATAGATAGATAGATAGATAGTTGCGTGTTAAGAATGACAAAATAGAAAAGCAAGACAGAATTAAAAAAGCAATAATAAAATAATAACCAAAAGATAGGCTGCACTAGTATATACCTACGATCACGAATGCGTAATAGCTTGCACGTGAGTAATGGAATTCCCATTAATATTTTTGCGAATTTCAATTTAATGTAAAACAGCATGCCTCATTATTATTATGCATGAATTAATGGTTATTATATTTACCTTAAGAAAAGCTAGACTATGTTGGAATTAGTACAAAATGTAATAGCTCATAACCTTATTCTCTACAAAATGACGATTTCAATTGAAAAATAACATCTATTGCCGGCCATCTTTAAAGTTATTAATTTACACACACGTGCACTGTTAATAAATGCTATTTCAAAAGCACAGCTATATAAGGACGGTTAGCCTACTGTACATTTGGACCATGGAGTGGAAAAGGTTTAACTAAAATAAATGTAGCCAATGGTTTCTTTCTTGTATGCCATTATTACACTGTAAAAAAAACATTTTCAAGATTTGTTATCACAACATAATTTCTTTTGTCAAATCACCTTTATAATAATTTATTTAGTTGAGATAACTTATTATTTTGAGTTTCTGTTGGTTAAATTAATCTACTTCATTGTATTAACTCACTTTTTCCAGTTCAATCAACTTAAAATTTTAAGGCAACCCAAGTTACTTACTTTTTTAAGTTAAACCAACAATATTTTTTTACAGTGTAGTAATCACAACATTTTTTTCTTTTGTCAAATCAACTTAAATAATTTATTTAGTTCAGATAACATATATTTTTGCGTTTCTGATGGTTAAATTAATCTCCTTCATTATATTAACTCACTTCCAGTTCAATGAACTTAAAATTTTAAGGCAACCAGGTTACTTACTTTTTTAAGTTAAACCATCAATATTTTTTTTTTTTTTACAGTGAGACATCAGACATGTGTTTTAGCAGAAGATTCATTCATTGTGATAATATTTGACAGTTTAGTTATATATTTGGAATTTTTTTTTTTTTTTTAAGAGATTACTGATGTTAGAAGTGAGATTAGGCTGATTACAAGAATCATGTAATCAGGTCTGATTAGCGAGGCTCTATATTATTGTTTTTTACAAACAGAATAAAAGCAGCTGCATTTATTTAAAGTTATTTTCCTGGGTTATGTAGACTATCTCTTGAAAATCACTTTTCAATGACATCAGTAATCGCCAATGGATACATAGAAAATGTGCGTGTTTATGAGCGTTGTGTTTGTTGTGTTAACGACCGGTCCGTGTTGTGTCAGCAGTGCGGCTTTTCGTTTACACACAACAGCTAATGACCTGCAGTAGATCACATTACCTCACCAACTGGACCAGTCCTGTTCTGTGACCATCAGCCTCGGATCAGTCCCAGTGAACGTCGCTTGCATAAATTTCGCTGACTACGCGTGAAATACCACACCGTCGGGTTCACGTTTAAAAGAGGCTGTCATTTTCCCCTTTAAACTGTAAACGCAGAGATAAAATCTGGGATGTGTAAGGAAAATTTATTTAACACAAGCTGTGCTATTTCTCCCCTGTAGTCAAATATTGAGCGTTCGTTGGTCTTGTTGCGAAATTAGTGACTCGTTAGAGGTGAAACGCACGGATCATGTAAAGTGAAAGCACTCAGTATTTGATGTGAGTGCGTGTGTGTCTCTCTGTGTAAGCCCAGCCTCCTTCTTTACATAGACACAGCAGCATTTACCTGAGACCATTGCCTATAGGTGAAGTGCACCTGGACGGACTCAAACAAACGTGGAATTTTAGCTACAGGAAAAAAAAGACGCTTTCTGGAAGTAAAGGTCTAAAGGACGTGATGTATGATCCATTTTGTAAACTGGTCTAAACTCTGAGCTGAATTTTGTCTTGAAGCTGGTTTTTGATCCTTTTGGTTGATATGATCCGGAGTTGACTCACATAATGTCCAAATCCTCAGATCAGTTTGACAGCTCAGATTGCGTGTGCTCATTCGGGATGAAGTTGACTTGGGATATAAACGACCCTAAGCTTCCACAGGTAATTTTTTTTTATTTTAAACATTTTATGCATTTGTAGACAGGGTGGAATTACCATTTCTTTTGGAATAGCCTTTTTTTATCTCAAAGTTTAAGTACAAAGGGAAATATTGATAACCTAGTTTCTGTGTCGGTCCAATTAGGCCTACTCGGAAATACATTAAAAGCCCTCTCGCTATCTAAATATAAATAGCCTTTGTTAATGATGATTTATTTTTCCAGGATACGAAGCAGTATGATGCGTTCCAGGAGTGGACTGATGGATATGTGCGTTATATCTACAGCAGTGAAGATAAGAACGCGCAAAGACACCTGAGCGGATGGGCCATGAGGAACACTAACAATCATAACTGTCAGATCCTGAAGAAGTCCTGTCTTGGTGTGGTGGTGTGTTCACGAAACTGCTCTCTCCCAGACGGGTCCAAACTTCAGCTGAGACCGGCCATATGTGACAAAGCGCGGCAGAAACAGCAGAGTATATGTTCATGAACTTTTGTTTCCCAAAAACAAGCAGCATCTACCAAACGAGTTAATCGTGTCAGGGACGAATCTGATAAGAAAGAACAGACAAAACAGGCTTGTTGTAGCGCGTAGTTTGAAATACCTTTGAAATATCTGAACTGCAATTTATCGCATTCTTATCAAGAATTTTATTTTTTTCAAGATTTTTGTTATATGGTTTTATGGAAACAGACTAACATCTGTGACTCAAAAATATTATCTAATGGCTTTAGGCTGTAAACTTTTTAAGGAACATGTATTTAGTAGTGTAGCCTTTAGCGCAGTGACCTATGTTAATAGACCGTACTTGCACTTCATTAGACTCACATTTCATGCTGAATTACCCTGTTCTGATAGCTTAAGAGCCCGACCCTCTCACTCATCACCTTGACTCTTTGGCTGAGTCAAAAAAAAAAACCTTTTGCTTACGCTGACTTATGAATCATGTTCAATAGATAAAGCTAAACATGAGAATTTCTTCAAAATAGCTCATTAAAATGGGTTGTTGGTCTTTTTTTGTAAAAGTCTCAGTAAAACTATGTATTCGTAATGTACCTTTGCAGAAAAGCTTTGTCTGAACTGTAACTCAGCTCTCGAGTTGATTCCGTGCCGAGGTCACAGTGGCTATCCAGTAACTAATTTTTGGAGAGTAGATGGGAAAGCCATTTTTTTCCAGGTGAGTTTGACTGTGAAGACATATTATTGCTATTGTTATTAGTTTTAGATATTGGTGTCGGAGAAAAAAAAAACATGCCAGTGATAACTTTAAATGCTTAAAAGACACAATACATTTTTTCTTAACAAAATGGTTGTTAAATTTTCAAATTAAATTGCAGAAATTACATCCAATTTAACTAAAAAGTCATAATATGTGTATGACTGAATAAACTTGAATATTTACAGTACCTATACCAACAAAGGTTTTTTTTTTTTTAAAAAAATGTAATCAGGTAGAAATAAGGTATAAGTCATTCTACTGACTCATTTTACTGTTTACAAATGATTATAAATACTTTCAAATGAGCTTTAATTGAATTGATTGATATCACTTTTCAACAGAATTGTGTATTATATTTAAATATAGTTAAGTATTTAAATAGTTATAATTTATGAATATTATTGTGAGATGTTCAATTCCCTCTATGTCTGTTTTAAGGCTAAAGGAGTACATGACCACCCCAGACCAGAGAGTAAGTCAGAAACAGAGGCAAGAAGAAGTGCAGTGAAGAGAAGGATGTCTTCACCTCACTTTTCACAGAAAAGAAGACTGGTGGAGCCAGAGGTAATACGCACTTTCAAAAAAATCTGTGACAAATACACAAAATACACAAGTTAACCCCAAATACACAAAATTCCAGTTATAGTTTAAGACTGAAAATATACTTAGATAAACACAGTGTAATTAGTTGTATTGCAAGATGCAATTGATTATAGGTGCCATAGTTATGCATTATTTGCTAATGCATTATATGTCTCATATATTGACATTGAGATATGCAGTGCACAGTATCATACTATATTTTATTAGTGGTTTTTTTTTTTTTTACAGTAATGTGACAAATGCAAAATCTTGTAAACATCCAAAACGGTTTAAAGTATGGTCATAGTATTTATAAGTGGACATTATCTGCTTTGAATAACATAAGTTAATTTTCTTTAAACAGCCATATCATGGATGAGTTATATAACACATTTGCTTTGAACATATTTATTGTAATATCAACAAAACCATATTGCATTGCTTCAACTGTAAGAGGGTTACCAGTAAGCTTATAGCTTACTTAAAATACATTATAGCTAAGTTATAACAACAAGAAGTTAAGTATTATAATGTATTCTAACTTTTGTTACAATTATTCATGAGATGTTACAACAACATCTAAATAGTTAAATAGTTAAATAGTAAATCAGGGAATCTGTTACCACTTAAATAAATGGATGGTTGCAAGTTAAAATTTCTAATTTATTGTTTCAATTAAAACTTTGAAAACGTTCTATTAAGTTCTGTTGATGTAATAATTTAATATTGTCTATAATTGAAACTCATATTTCTTTGTTATTTTTTTTCATTGTTCAGTCACTACAAATTACTGAAATTGTTTTGATAACTTCAGACATTTATTTATCTGATTTCATGTTCCCAGCATGCTTTGCATAGAACTGCATAAGGAGATTAAATGTTGAAATTAACCCTTGTGCTGCATTAGATTTTTAACACCGTTGAGTGCATTAAGGACCAAAAATGGCCACATATTAAACATTGCCTAAAATATTATATATTATTATTATTTTCCACTTTTACCAAGTTAAATCTTTTAACCAGCATCAGTCCTCATCATAACTACCAAAAATGTATTCAATTTCAGGATTTTAACCCTTTAATTACCAGTTTTGTTTGCGAAACCATCGATTTGTATAAGAGGAAAAAACACAAAAATTCAATTATTTTCAATAAACTAAATGCAAAGAGAAAACTTTAGATTTGGATTATCACAGTCCCACTTTGCAAAAAATCACTTAGCGCGTTAGAGACCAAAAATGGCCACCTATTAAACATTGCCTATTGCCTAAAATAAGGTGCATTTCCACCCATAGGGAATAAATATGTAGTGACGTCATCTGGTGGAATACACTATATAATGCAAATATAATGCTTTTGCTTCAAAATGAAAGGATGTTTGTGCAAAAATCATGTTTCATGTATTACTGACAGCCTCAGATTTAAACAACGTTTTAATGGGTTTCAATGGGCCATTTTTGGTCTTTATGGTGCTGAGTGTTACTATTTGATCTACACAGTGTGTGTTATACGTATTTTGCAAAATGGGATCACATTTTTTACATGTATCCAAAAAGTCACAATTTTGCCAAATTTCCATTTGCATTAAAACAGCCAAAATGGTCAAAGAAATTAAACTGCAAAAGACCAAAAATGTCCCTAATGCAGCATAAGGGTTAAGTGTTATTTTATTTATTATTATTTTATTTTTTAAGTGAAAGTAAATACCTGTGTAGGTTTAGGTATATGTAAGGTGTTCCCTGGATTTCGTGTTCTGCAGTGAGGACCATCTCGAAGATCTCCATATGAAGGGCCAATTGCAGGAAACTTACATTTGATTTTCTGTCACCAGCCTGGACGTTACCACGAAATGGCCTACCCAAATATCCACCAGCTCACCATGGAGGGTCCGGAGCGCTTCAGCATCATTGCAGAGTCCAATTTCCCAATACAGACCCAACACTATCCTTCATTCCAGAATCCAGAGCCCTACAAGTTCCCTTATGACACAACAGCAGCCATGGCGGATACACCGAGCTCACTGCAGAAGCCTCCTAACCACCGTTTGTATATGACTCGCCCTCCTTGTGGGTATGACTTTGCAGTCCCAGGATACCTTGGCTCAGGGCCTTATCCAACAACACTTTATAAGGATCCTTCTAGCCCACAAACTGAGACAGATCCTAATAAGTCGGGGCCTAGCCTGAGTGGCGTGTCTCATGGCACGAGTCCTTTAGGCAGCCATGAGCGAAGCTACGCAGAAACTACGGGAAAGCATCATGGCTGGAAGCAAATTCTTAGTAAAGGTGCCTATGGGGAGAGAGGAGACTACACTCAACTGCCAACCAACGCCAACCACCATTACTACAACAGTGACTACCCATGTAGGTACACAGGACCTGCTCCTGCTACCCCAGCAGCACTGCAGACCATAATAACCACAACCACAAAAGTGTCCTACCAGCCATGCCCCAAGCCATCTGTTGTCAAGTATGGAGAGAACATCTATGATGTCAAAGGCCTGTCTAACTGTAACTCAATCTTGGAAGAGTCCTCTCCCAACTCTTACTCGGATCTGAAGATTCCAGAGGATTCGGGTGTGATCAAATCTGCTCTGTCGTATCAGGACACGCTCCCATCTAAAATTGAGAGATCTGAAAACTTTGAGGGCTATCGCTACAGTAGCTACAGCTCAAACAGTTACCCTGATCGAATGTCGCATCCTTTCAGGTACGACAGTGGGGAATACTGAAGGACTGCAGGAAAACAGACAGGGTGCACAACCCCCTGATCAGATCAGAGCAAGCATATGGAATCAGAGCAAGTATATGGAAATGTGTTGTTATTTATATTCAGTATTTGAGCTGTTTAAATGTCTTTAGTTTTGTAGATAACTGGTGAATTTTGTGTATATTTTTGACCCATATTGATTTCATACACTGACATCAGTGTTGAGTACATTTCCATATTCAAGTAATGCGTTTTAAAGCCATGATCGGTTATTAGCCGTTGTCCACAAAAGAAATAAAGAACCATGTGTCAAATGACAATTTAGGTAGGAATTTTTAAATTTGTTTCTTTGATATTCATTAAAGCTGTTTCTTTAACAAAACTGAGGGCATCACAGTGTGATACTTATTCTAGAACAGACATGTTGTCATCTACAAAAGTAGAAAGGCACTAATCACTTTATCTTGTTACGAGAAAACTTAATGGGGGGGTTGACTGCTTTTTTCCTTTGCATGATTGTGTTTATGGGGTGCAATATATCATGTATTCGTGGTTTTTCTTTTCTGGGCTCAGATTGGTTCGTTTGGGCGGGTGTGTTGTGATTGGCTAAACTGTCGCTCACGTTGTCCGGAAGGTTAACGCCCATTACCTTTACGGGCGAAACGGGCATGCCAAAGGTTGATACCATAGATAGACGGTCGATACACGGAAATAATGATGTCGAGACTGCAGTATCAGTGAGGCAGAATCAGACCGAGAAAGCCACGATGAAAAGAGTCAAGCAGAACCTCACCACACACGGTTCTTACTAAACGTTTCTGAATGATAATTTGCAACATTTTTTAACCATATACACCTTTGTTTTACACAATAGCATCTGACTGGCAACGATAGCAAGTGACTGGCTACTAATGTTATACTCAAACAGCGTTGGAAAGTTTACGTTCTTGATCAAATCGAAAATAACGTCATAAAGCATATATATATGAAAAATACATTTACAACATTATTACTTATACAAAATTCAGGTCCATAATGTTTGTACGCGTTTGTCGTAGACACAAAATACAAGCTTAACTAGTAGCCTAGTGGCTATAAAGCCAGTGCTGGCATTTGAAAAAAAAAAAAAAAAGGCTAACGTTACGTCTGGAATTATACATGCAAATACATTTAAAATGATGAAGTCTTAGCCTACTTACAGGTTGTGGCCCAACAACTGCTGCCTCTGGTTTTAAAGTTGGATCTGCTTCATGTTTTAGTAACAGTTTCTTGTTGAATTCGTGGAGATTCTGGAAGCTGTCTTCCGTAAAATGCGCAGCACAGAGAGCTAGATTACGATCGTCACTTTCAGAAATATAATCAAACATAAATTGTATCCATTGTTGACGAAGTAGCATCCGTGGGCAGCTTGAACACAGAAGACCTGTCAGCTGGGTGAACACAACTCACTCGACGTGCTGCAGAAATATGCGCATACCCTTTCCTGCATATTCCGAAGGGAGTGGTTGATGCAAATGTGTGGGTTAGTGACGTACCATAACCCAGCTGTAGTCCCAATCGAGTCGTTTTTGTAGGCGTTTACACTTCCTGGTTTTTAAAAGACGATATCTCTGCTTTGAACTTTGAAATTGAACTTTCAGTGCTGCAACTTTGCAGATACTGTTCATGCACCATCAGCAACATTACACACTATTTAAAATGAAAAAAGTGAGATCGCAGTCAACCCCCCCTTTAAAGGAGTAGTTCACTTTAAAAAAAAAAAAAAAAAAAACTTTTGCTGATAATTTGCTCACCCCCATGTCATCCAAGATGTCCACGTCTTTCTTTCTTCAGTCGAAAATAAATTAAGGTTTTTGATGAAAACATTCCAGGATTTTCTCCATATAATGGACTTCATTGGGAACCAAATGGTTCAAGGTCCAAATGAGAGTTTCAGTGCATCTTCAAAGGGCTTTAAACGACACCAGACGATGAATAAGGATCTTATCTAGGACCCTTCGAGTCGTGACTCGAAAAAAGATTTGTTCATTTTGATGAATGAGTTTGAACAGGAGAGTCACAAACGCTCATCGCAGTACTGAGCAAGGCGAGCATTTGTGCTTATAAAACGTAAACTTTATTTATTTATTTATTAAATGAGTGATCATTTCGCTAGATAAGACCCTTATTCATCGTCTGATGTCGTTTAAAGCCCTTTAAAGCTGAAACTGTCTTTTGGACCTTAAACCGTTTGGTTCCCATTGAAGTCCATTATATGGAGAAAATCCTGGAATGTTTTTATCAAGAACCTTAATTTCTTTTCAACTGAAGAAAGAATGACATGGACATCTTGGATGACATAGGGGTGAGTAAATTATCAGCAAAAGTTTTTTTTAAAAAAGTGAACTACTACTTAACTACTCCTTTAAAGAATCTTCAAAATTCAGAAAAAATTCAAATAGCCTTATGCCTTTGACTCAGAGGCCACTTCTCAAAGTTCAGCATGTCTCTATAACATGTCAAGTCCAAAACATGATGTAAAAGCATATAATCATGGGATACGTGACTGAGATTTTAAGACATCTGAGAGAAAGAGAACACACTCTTCATAAGCCGACAGAATCCAGCAAAGAATATTCTGCTGTCAAAAAGGGATCAAGGATAATCACAAACAATTAATCAAGTGAATGAATGAGAAAGGTGCCCTGACAGGCTACATACATCCAACCACTCCATACTCCATTAGACAGAGAAAAAGAGATACAATTAAAAAGACAGATAAAATATCTGACAACACTACAGAGCAGCTACAAGACAACACAGATATATAGGAAGGCAAGGAGACAGTGAACAGGCAATACAAGCGGGTGAGAGAGGCTGTAATACCTGCTGCTGACAGCATCTCTCCTCACAGCCACTTTGCAATAGACACACACACACATGAATGAACTAACGCACACTTAACCCTTGGTGTTCGGGTCTGTTGGACCCGTTTTCATTTTTTATCAAAAGAAAAATGATACGATTAATAATTTTTTCAAACGCAGACTCATTGGCCTTGGCTCATTTCATGTGAAGAATATATATCAGAACACATTTTCAATGAAAACACACTGTACACCCCCTCCCCCCCTTCACATTTACATTACACACAAGATGTTCGGGTCAAGTGTGGAAACTGTAGGTTCTGTGTGCCTTTACTCTGTCCTCCTCCTGTCATTGTGTGTGTGTGAGTGCGAATTTTGTGTTTCTGCACCTGACGTTCCCACAAAAGGTCACAACATTGCTGCAAAATTCATGCACGACCACCGCCTGCTCTAACAGTCCCGCACATTTTACCCTCTGCCATTAATTCTTAAATGTGATCTAACAAAGGTAAAGAGAAAATATTAACCATATATGCTGTTTGTATTGCTTGTAATTGGGATGAATGAAACATATGTTGAGTATTTTAACATGAAATTGTTTGTGTTGAATTAAAAAACCCAAAATGCAGCAGGTCCACCAGACCCACGAACACTGCCTGAATAACAAAAATATGAACACCACACAAGGGTTAAGCTATATTTTCAGATGTTATATTTAGCCTACATGCTGTATTCAGAGGTGGACAGAGTACACTACTTGAGTAAAAGTACAGATACCCGTTGCTACATTTTACTCAAGTACAAGTAAAAGTACTACAGTCAGATGTCTACTCAAGTAAAAGTACTGAAGTACTTGTTTTTAAAAGTACTTGAGTATCAAGAGTACAAGATTACATTTTCTAAATATTGCATTACCTGCCACAGTGCTTACATTTATGGACAGAAACATCCACATGGAGTTATGAAAAATGTTAATGTTCAGATCTTGGAGAATGTAAAAGGAATTTAAAGTAAAATCAAGTCATATTCATCTTTTTACCATGTTGCTTTATTTAACATTTAACCCTCCTATTATCCTTGGGGTCAATTTGACCCCATTCAATGTTTAACGTCTGTAAATACATCATTTTATTTAGTTATGAAAAACGTTAATGTAAAATCAAGTCATTTTCATCTTTTTGCTTTATTTAACATTTAAGAACATTTCAGAAAATTCAAAAAATTGAAATAGTGTGGCGAGGTGGGATCACAGGTTGGCACATTCCCAGGATGGACCTGCTGTGTCTCCATCCATTGTTTTGTGGTTTCGTCTCTTATCTAAGTCTGACCATGGAGTTGACTTTGGCGGAAAGCTGAAAGTGATTCTGATAGGCTGTCTCAATCAGTGGCGCCTGCACAATCCAATCACGTTTGAGAGAGAAACAACAAATTGAGGGTTTCCAAGATTTTTCTTATTTCCATTTTTTTCTTATTTTTTTTTAGAAGTAGTTACTTTTTACTCACGGTTATGGATAGAAATGTAGTGGAGTAAAGAGTACAATATTTCCCTCTCAAATGTACTTGAGTAAAGTACAGTTCCCTCAAAATTGTACTTAAGTACTGTACTCAAGTAAATGTACTCCGATGCTGTCCGGCTCTGGTTGTATTTATGCAACCCGATCACACTAAATGGGTCCTGATTTGGTTTGTGAATAATTGTGTGTTTGATTAGTGTGTCTGCTTGAATGGAAAAATGAAACAAACAAAGCATTAGTCAGACACTGTTATTGTGCTTGAGAAAAATACTAACTTTCATTTCTCATCTAGTGTATGATTATTTTGCAGTTCAAGTCAAAGACTTATAAACCGTCACCTGGGTCATTCCTGTTATGCTGCAACTTTTGAAATCTGTAACGTTTAAAAATAATATTGTTGTGTTTTAAATTAGGTAGTATTTCAATACAAAGATATATCAGACTTTGATAAATACTCTATGGGCAAGCTCAGATTATTTAATCAATAATAAGAGAATTAAACTTAAAAAGCTGATAAATACATTTTATGAAAATTACATGAAATTACATAAAAATTAAATTAATCTACGAAACTCCTTGGATAATATTAGAAAACTTTAAGCTCACTCCATGTTCACTTAATGTATTGTGGTTAAATATGAACTAATTTGTATTAAATATTATATATATATATATATATATATATATATATATATATATATAGTATTCCTTAATTATCTAGGAATCACATTTTTTTATTCTCCAGAGCTCCACCAAACGGAATTGGATAATGTTTGCTTTAAAACAGATATGTTTTAAAAAAGTAGTAAAACATGTTGTTGAATAACAACAATAATTCTACAGCATTTATTAATCTTAGTGAATACTAATCACTAATAAACTTTTAAAATCAAACATTGTTTCTGTCAACATTAGTAAATGCACTGTGAACTAACATAAACAATGATAATTTGTATTAACTAACATTTAACAAAAAATTTAATGCAGTAAAATTACCTTTAACATTAACTAAAATGTGTTACCTTT